GAGGATGCGATAACGACAAACACAATCCTTCACTTTGTGCGAAGACAATTTCACGCAACCATCTCGGAGTTGTCGCTGATAGTGCTTCAAACGTAGGCATCGCCCCACCGTGAAGCTCACTATGTCGTTCCGTCTCTTCTCTTCAAAAGAGATATAAATCTCTTAGACCGAGTAAAGATACAAGCAACTGCGTTGGTTAGAGTTCCAGAACATAAATCTTATGACGACGGACTCGAATACCTGAGATTATTCTCGTTGAACAACAGATAGTAAAGTTGTCCAACAATGACATATAACATTTCATGTACGCCAAGCCATCCTGATACGAGCATCTTATAAGAACACCACCAAACTCATCGAAATAACCTCTGAAAGACTGCACACCAAACAACAAAAAACCGAGTAAGCTCTCAACTTTCTCCGCTAAAAGTTGCTCCTATTTGAAATTCAATTCCAGCCGAAGTGACTACAGCCTCTTCAGTGGATGGCTTCAAGAGAAGACTTAAAAAACACGTACTTGCCCATGGATTACCGTCTCCCTCTTGGACTAGATGCGTCTGATGAGTGTCTCATAAATTACCACGATTATCATTACCGCAAATCAGTAACCACTTCCTATCTCTCTCAATATTATATCTGTCTCCCGTCTTATTCTTCCGATTACGTCTTCTTACAAATTACCGAATAATTAATTTATTTGCTCACAAAATAATCGTCTTCTCTTAGCACTTTATTATTTCAATATTAAAATCAACTAACACCCTGCCTGGTTTTGTGATAGCTGCTGATATCCAGAAACCGTACTGCCCTTAGACAAGCACATTTGCTCAAACTACAAGTAGTTTTTGTTGCTCAAACAAAACAAAACTCATCCAGGAAGCCATTAGCCTCCTGGTGTTGGCTAATAAGAAGGTTGACGAGGGCTGCACTGACAATATTGGTGCTGATAGCGAAGATCGCGTTAGTGTCGCAAGTGCTGTCACGGCGCAAGTCAGACATCTAAATGCGCAACCCGAGATCAAAATTTTTACCCCGAAACAATCAAAGAGTGACACCTCATTAGATATTGGTGGCCATGTTGCTACAGCAGCAACTGGTGATCCAGATAAAACAATTATTGTCCCGAGCAGTTCTAATGTAGATGCTACGGCTGACGGAATATGGATGAAGTGTAAACGCAGAAGAGTAGGAAAGACAGCTAAAAGTAAGGACCGTTTACTTGATAAGTCTTTGGTGGACTCTCAGACCACTCCGCCAAAGTCCCAAAGTAAAGCCTCGTCAAACATTGTTGTGAATCACTCGCTCGACTCCAATGACTCTGTTACAATAAAAACTAATCGTAAGATACCAGTAGTTAATATACAGGATGTTAGGTCACGATCGATAGCCGTAAACACGATTCCTAAAGAAACTAAATCACTCCCTAGCTTAATTATTTGGAATCTAGAGGAGTCGATAGACAACGATCCTGCTAAGAGACATGCACATGATCTGAAGTTAGTAGAATCCGTGGTAAGAAACGTACTACCTGAAGAGGTTTCAGGAGTACATATCACGAAAGTGATACGACTCGGTAAATGGGTTGGAGGCGAGACCCAACCAAGAAGGATCTTGAAGCTGGTTCTAGGGAGTTTTGAAGAAAGAGACATATTATTGAAAAACGCACAAGAAATTCGTGATTCAAATATTCGTATCCGACCAGATTGGCCGCTTGAGGATCGAATCAAGTGGAAGAATGCTCTTACGGAGTTAAGAACTCGCAAGTTAAATGGCGAAACTAACCTTACCATTAAGGGTTTTCGGGTAGTCAGGTCTTGGAAGCCAATGCTTCCGAGGCCTGTATGGGTAGAACGAACGATTACCATAACACCTTAAGTGTGTGCTACACGAACGCCCGTAGTCTTAGGAATAAAACGTCCGAGCTAAGTCTGATGGTGGATGAATTAACTCCCGATATAATTGTCATTACAGAAACTTGGTTCACCGTAGATATAGAATGTTCTCCCATCATTGCAGGCTATATCTGTATTAGAAGTGATAGAGTTTTAAGCCGCAAGGGGGGAGGCATAATGTTATACATTAGGGACCACTTTTGTATACAATCAATCATATCGGAGGCTCACGTTAGTGGTACATGTGAGGTAGCATGTTGTAAGATTAAATCTAGAAATGGGTTAGTGACTCTAGGCGGAATATACCGTAGTCCGTGTTGTCTTGCTGACGACTTTATCCTAAGACACATCTGTTCTTGGAGTATGGCAGAATGTTGTCTCATCATTGGAGACTTCACCGCACATCGATTGGATAGAGCTTACAGCTCCAGGTGGAGGTTTTGATAGCGAACTTTTATCAACAGTTATTCAGTGTGCACTTGTCGAATGTATCACTGAACCGACACATATTGATCTGAAACGTGATCCGTCACTGCTGGACCTCGCCCTCACCCACCACTGTGAGGACGTCTTTGATATTCAGCACCTTCCTCCACTAGTGAACAGTGATCACGTTGTACTTCACTTTAAGTTTAGGACACATGGTATACAATTTGTATCTGCTCCACCCCGTCCCAATATCTGGCGGGCTAATATTCCAGCAATCAGAGACTGTGCGATCTCGACTGATTGGTCGGTTGACGCAGATGGATCGATCGAAGACGAATGGATTAAGTTTAAGGCTACATTCGAGTCCGTAACGTCGCCGTTTATTCCATGGTCAACACGTAAGCTATCGCATCGCCCTCCATGGATTAATAAGGAAACCCGTAAGCTGTTAAAGCGTAGGAAACACTTCTGGGACTTATTCTTGTTGACAGGTCATGCATCTTTTAAGCGTGAGTACCAAAAACTCCGGAATATCTGTAAGAAAACTACAGCTAAATCCCGTATTACTTACGAACGACAGTTGGTATATGATAGCCGTACTTGTCCAAAACGATTGTTTTCGTATGTTAAACGGCAATAAAACGTAGTGATAGTATTCCCCCATTATCGTTACACGATAATTCAGGTTTACTAGCTGAATCAGATCGAGCAAAAGCTGAGACATTTTCAAACTACTTTAGCGAAGTCTACTCTACGTTTATTGTAACAAATACTTGTCCCAATTACGCCGAGATACCAGCCATTGAATCTGTACAGGTGACTGAAGAAACTGTTCCTCCGTTAGTAATTAACGTCAAACCTTGTAAGATACCGGGTTCTGACGGGTTACATCCACGATTGCTGTCATCTCTTGCAGACATTATTTCAAAACCGCTCGCGACACTCTTTAACATGTCCCTTTCACTCGCTCAACCCCCTAGGGATTGGAAAGATGCTATTGTCAGTCCTATATTTAAGGATGGTCAGAGACACATCGTATCTAACTACCGACCTGTCAGTCTAATTAGGATTGTCGTTGAGTTACTTGAAAAGATAATTCGGGTTAGGTTGCTAAGCCACATAGACTCACACAATCTGTTAGCTCCTGAGCAACATGGATTTCGTGGCAAGCGTTGATGCTTGACTAACTTACTTATTGCGAGAGAGGATTGAACAGCAGCCTTAGATAAAGATCTGTCTGTCGATGTGATATTTATAGATTTTAGCAAAGCATTTGACATGGTTTCACACTTAGGTCTCATGCAGAAGCTCACGAGCTTCGGAATAATAGCTACTGTACAGGAGTGGATGGGAAACTTCTTATGTGACCGTAGACAGAGAATGAGGGTCAATGGGATGCTATCCGATTAGAAGCCGGTCAAAAGTGATGTACCCGAAGGCACCATCTTAGGCCTTTTGCTCTTTCTTTTCTACGTAAATGAGTTACCGCTGTTGCTTAGGTCGTCGACATTATTATTTGCGGATGACGTAAAAATCTGGAGAACAATAAAAAGTGAAGCTGATCATCTGGATCTTCAAGCTGACTTAGACGATTTAGTTAGATAGGCTCGAGGTTGGGGCTTAGAAATCAATTCTAGGAAGAGTGTGCTAATGCACATCGTGCACGGCAACGGTTACCATTATACTATTGATGGTAAACCTCTTCCATGCGTTCAAGAACATAAAGACATAGGAGTAATAATAAGTCATGACCTAAAAACAACTACGCATTCAACGCAGCCTCTGTCAGAGGTTTTTGTGCGTTATGGTCAATTTGCCGAGCGTTCAAATCTTTTGACGAGGAAATGTTTCGAATTTTATATCCCACTTATGTAAGACCACATTTAGAGTACTGTATCCAAGCAGCTAGCCCATGTATGTTAAAGGATACTAACTCACTTGGGCGTGTCCAGCGTGTGGAAACGAAATTAGTGAAGGGTCTCTTTAAACTCCCTTACGATGAGCGTTTCAAACGCCTAAACCTTTTCCCCTTGTCGTATCGTAGGACTCGAGGTGACCTTATACTGGCATTTCGTATCTTTAATTATGATTTGGGTGTTAATATGTCCCATCTTTTTGCTCCCTCCAGCACTAATAATCTCCGAGGTCATAGCAAGAAGGTTCATAAACCACGATCTAATAAACTCAACTTGAGGTTCCGTTTTTCTCATCGAGTAGTCAATGATTGGAACGCCATGCCCGATCAAGTGGTATCAGCCCCATCAGTGAATATTTTCAAAGAGAAACTGGACCTTCACTGGAAGCCAACCTGTTAGGATTAACACAGGTTCACTAACCTACTATCCTTATTACTGAAGACTGAAGTAACACAAATCCACAAATAATTGACTAGAATTACTGCAGTCGATGACTAGACTACCACCCCTTGGACATTGTCAAATGCCTGAAACCGTACCGAGACAAAGAAGAAAGAGAGCAAAAGTCAATCAGTTTATACAAGCTCGTGGTTAACATATTGGATATTGGAAATGTTTTGAACATCCTTCGGCCTTAACTAAGTGTGTGGAGCGGTAAATCAAGCATTGTAAACATTGCTATTGTCAGCGGTGTTGGGGGGGGGGACTAGAATACGGGTCTAGTGATGCCTGATATTAACGTAATTTTGTCACTATATACACAATGCTTACTCCATCTGGAAATCTTGGTAATAGTAAACTGGATGAAGGTATATATAATTATATTCTATTGCATTAACATCTGAACTAAGTTTTAGCAAAGGATATTGAAGTAAAACAACTATTGCACAATGAAATTAATAAACTTAAAATCAATTCTGACCGACTTCAAAAGAATCTTGATCTTAAAACATCACAGTTTGAAAAACTAAAAAGTGACTTCATTTTTAACTTTCGGTTAATCAAGGAGCGAGATCTGGCGATTAACAAACTTAGTGGACGTGTCTCTTCTCTAACTAATGTAAGAATTTTTTTAGCCATGAGTTCAGTAATATATGACAATTGAAACACATCTGACTTTCACTCAGGGTTAGGAACACATTAATAATTAATTATTTATTTATTTCCAGTTCATAACAAACTCCTCAAGTTTGATTTTGACTGTAAGCTTATAGGAAAGCCTCCTCTTCTCGTCTTTCAAAAACTAACTGACGTTTCGAAGAATTATTTATAAGAGGTCCTTTTCATAAATATGAAAATAGTTTAAATGTCATTAAGTATACGTTGCATAACAATTCTGATAAATTTCATGGTTTAATGTTTTACTTGTTTGTTGGTTTTGTTATTTTCGACAGGACCTCTGTCACTGTCAGCTTGTCTTGGGCCTTCTATTTTGCCAAGCTTTCCTGTTTTCTAACGAGATACAATCCAATTTACATACATTCTGACTGTGCTGATCTATTTATAACGGCTTACGTCCTCATTCTTATATATTATATTTCCCCTTTAGCGTGCTGTTTTTTCCACGCTGGTATGGGCTTTATATTTACCCTTTTGTGTTTGAGAATCACAAGGAAGTTAACAGTAGATATGTGTAGGGGTCAAGCCTAACTGACTATGCTTACTGTAGAGAACGACATTTGTTACAAAAGATGATGACCCAAAAATGACACTGGGTGTACCAAACCTGATTACCAACACTACTAAGCTGTTATTAGTGTTCGACGAACAAGGGCTTTTTAAATTTTATTCAAAACATTCCGTACATGCTCCTCTAAGTGAATAGACGTGAATTTATTTTTTATGTTGACTGTAATAAAACAAGCAGACGGCTTTTTTTTAACCTAAAAATACAACTCTGAGATAAATATATATTTTACTTCATACTATGATTAAAAGACTGTCCACGATCATTTTCATGGAGACAGAGATAGATTTATCAATGTAAATAACTAAATTCTTCGTATTTTTGTAGGGTTGTTTTCTTTCCTAAAAATTGCCATCAATCTAAATCATACAGACGGTCGTTGTGACAAATATTTAAGTGAATAAATAGTGTTAAATTGACCAGTGGAAAACCTAAAAATATTTGACGTGCGTTTAATACCTTCTTCCCAATCAACATAGACAGTTTCTTTAATTTAGGGGCTATCTTTTTGACCGACTAAGGGATGTAAATGTCATTACCAAGGTGAAATTTAACAATTACAAAATTAGTGACCATTGGTTAGAATGTTAGTAATAAAGTCATGATATATCAGAGAATTCATTTATTTATTTGAACACAAACATTGGTATAAGGGGACACTAAATACATATACGCCACACAACAACAATGAGGCCAGTAGCAGTTATCATTTATTTGTTTGAGGGCTGTGATACTGCCCGGGCGCCAAAAACGGAGCAGGCGGTTTTGTTAGGGGCCACACCTCAAGCCTCTGATCTGAAGGTTTAATCCACAAGCCAATGGAGCAACATCAGTAAATACAGTCCCATAGCAACCGATGATCAACAGTAGATTCGGACGTCATTTGTTCCTTCAGGATCCTGGAGCCCATGTTCACCATTGGTTTGGAATCATGGTTTTCCAACTCCCTAAGTTGGACCATCCGTTTCCACCAACATAGGTAAAATGATGGACATTCGTTTTGCGTCCTCTTAATTTCGTAAATAACACCCCCGCCACGAGAATGCAGTGAGTAGGACTTCCCTGGCAGTGACTGTATACGCGTGACCATATGAGAGCATTTTGAGAGTGGGAGCTGACTCTCTCCACCCTTGACCGTACCATGGCATTAAGATACCAGAAGTTTGTCAGCAGACTAGACAACGGTTTCCAAGAATAAACAGATGGAATATCATTGTGGACGAAAAGCGGCGAGACTAGTCTTTGGGCGACGCCAAAGTGACCTTGAGAATGACCACCTACTAACTAGGATTACATGAAGGTTGTAAAACCGTCTGAAGAATTAGAATTATGATTTAGAGTTAATGTTTAGGGTTAGGAAATAGACTTTGGGTTTTCATCATGAACTGACATCAGCTAAAATGCCAAAACGCTATTTAGTCAAATGGATGAAAAGTTTCGCGTCGAAATCCAAGACCTGTTGTCGTAAATCTGACTGGTTCATCCATAAATTGTAGTCTCGCACAAAAAACTAGTTATCAACCGTCTAAGTGTAGAACTCTTTGACAATATTCACTCACGACTTTGCGATGTACCGTATTTAAAACTTTCTAGTCACGTGGCGAGCGCGTTACAACTAAACTAGAGTATGAGCCCAATAATTCAGATTAATAACTTTAGTCAACCTGTAATCTGGCACAACGAATATCAAACACTATCAAAAGGTAACTTTATCACCGTCCTGATCGTCCAAACATATACAAAAGCGTCAAATATTATTATCATATTTTATCTACTTTCCTTTCCATATCGAATCACACTTTCTATACAATAATTTTTCACGAGTCATTAAGTAACGCAGGGTTCTTTTAATCAATAAATGACCGTTTTTTGTTTTTTCTTCAGAATATTCATTCGAGGGATATTCTAATTAGTGAAATCAAAGTTTCCTTAGATCGTACACAATCAGAGCTTGCACAGGTAAAATCGTCAGAAGCAAAATTAAGAGAGGACATTGAAGAATCTCTCCATCAAACTGTCAAACGAGAACAAAAGCTGCTTGAAAAACACAATGCAATAATTGAGGTATTAAGAAAAACTGAAACTGAAGAACGCATCAAATTGCAAAATAATATTAATCGTCTTCATTCAGAACTTGAGAAGGAGAGACTTCATGCCGCTGCTGAACTGCAAACTGCAATCGACGACGCAGTGAAAGAGAGAGAAAAACTCAGAGCTGATGCCGCACAAAAAATCTTTGACCTAGAATTACGTATCCATCTTGCAAATGAGTCTGTTGAACTAGCTAATAAAACTAAAAATGATTATATAAAAGAATTATCATGTAAGGAGGAAGAAATATGCAATTTAAACTGTAAACTAAACGAAATAAACAAAATAGTTGAATCGCAAAGGCTTGAAATTCAAGATTTGCACACACGGTTAAATGAATCTAAACTGAAGCAAGTGTTACTTGAATCAACTAAAGTTCAAAACGAAGAACTAGCAGCATCACAAAAAGCTGAGCTTACCGAAGAAATTGATAAACTGAGGTAAGTTTATAAGCACTGCATTTACCTAAAGTACACACGACATTTTGGGATAATCAGAATTATATATATATATATATATATATATATATATATATATATATATGAACAGACTTCAAGTTACACATGTACATGACAGCCATGGAGAATCCAAACATGAGTCATAGATTCAATGCCTTTATGTTCTTTACAAGCTGGAGACTACTTGAATCCACTTTTTATGTAACGAACAGAACTCTACAGGAAAATTCTTTTCTTCATTAGTGTAAATTTATACGTAAAAATTATTTGAAGTTCCCCTGTCAGTCAGCTACAACGTAGGACCAGGCACTATATGCATTGGTCCACGTTGCAACACCGCATTAGCACAACAAGATGAACATCAAATTCACAGAAGCAGTTAGTTCAATGGTGGTAATATATAAAAGAACGATTGTGTATAAGGATATAGTACAGGAAGAAGGAATTAGTTCGTAGAAAGAAAGGTATGAAGCAATTTTAATCTCATGGTTTAAGGCAAGAGAGAGAGTTTATACACCGACGCCATTGTGATCGATTCTAAGCCATATCACACAGAGTCTCCAACCATTGTTTACGATAGTCACGTGAACCCCAACCAAGTAGTCTGCATCTATCAACATGGCTCAGACTATAAGTTAGTGACTTCACTGACTGCCACGTTTTGGTTTGGCCGCCACTAACTTTCTTCCAACCGCTTTGAACACTGGTCAGCATTGTGCGTAATGGTAATCGGTGCTTAGGCATCCGTAATATGTGGCCCAACCATCTCAGTCGATGAGGATTTACAACCTTATCTACTGATTTACCGTTATTCCCTAATACTCTGCGTCCAACCTCACTATCACTTACACAGCGGTTCTAGCAGATGCGAGCAATATTTCTAAGACATTTGTGGTCAAATACTTTATTTTATTTTTTTTATTTTATTTCAACACATAGATATTGGTACAAGGAGGCACCAAATACATATGTGCCACACAAATCTCAAATGATATGTGTGAGGGCTGTGATACTGCCCGGGTGCCCAAACCGAAGCAGGTGGTTTTCTTAGAGGGCCACACCCCGAGCCTTCGACCTGAATGTCTGATCCACAAGGCAGTGGAGCATCGTGAGGAGATGCAGTCCCATGGTAGCCAGTGACCAACGATTGGTTCACACGCCATTTGTTCCTTCAGGATACTGGAACCAGCCCATGTGCACCATTGATTTGGGATCCGGTTAAAGCCGGTGCCGCACATTCGCTTTTCGTCCTCTCATTTTCGTAAACAACACCCCTTCCACGAGAAGGCAGTGAGTAGGACTTACGAGTATCTTCTACTCTTAATGGCGATGTTTCGCTGCCGTAAAGTAGAACAGAACGAACTGCTACTCACTATACTTGTCCCTTAATTGATAGACGGATATTTTGCCAACATTTTAACCAGTCAATTTTCATAAGCTGAAATTTTATTTTTTAGTAAAAGTAATTACTTGCTTGACGATTTAAAGCTTCTTTAACAATATTAAGCATCAATTGGTTGGGGCCAGTTATACAAGGCCTTATATCCATACTTTATGATAACTTATTGCTCGCAATGGAAACTTGAAAGGTAAACTGAGGTGTTTTTTCTTTAGGGCCAACCTGTAACAATTTTTTTGTTTTATCAGAGTAACCTCTCCGAAGACGACCATGTCTTGGTAGCACTTAAGGTCGGGGTGACTTCAAGTGTTTAATCGTAGGCTTAAAAGCATCCCTTCCTCAAATCAATTGATGAGATAAGAGTAAGTTGGAAGAAAGTTAGAAGTAGCCAAACCATTATGATACTAGTTTGCAAAATTACTAATTGTTTATCTGGGCCATGTTGATAGATGCAAGCTACCTGGCTGGATGTGGGTAATATCTCCGACCGGTGATTGAAGACGTCTGGCTCCGTAGCTTACAAGCAGTTAAAGGAGTACAGACGCATTCACTCTCTATCCTCATCTAAATCTCTAGTTCGAGTATTCCTTCAAAAATACATTTTCACTGTCTTTTCGAACTAAATTCTTAATGTTTATGTTTCCCTATTATAATTGCTGTTAAATTATTTAAACTCCTCTGCTATTTATCTTGTAAACTTCGTCTCGTCTAGCGAGTGTGGCGTGGGACTTAGGTTCTACACATTTTTCCTATACCCTACTTTAAAAATCACTTCATCTCAATGTTTGCAACTCACTTCATCCCCATAATAATCCGTCTTGACGAAGGATTTTATGTTTTGTTAAGAACAAACTAAATGTTGAAAAGAATAATGCACAGTAATACAATGTGGTTGGTCTATAACTGCTCCCAATACCTAGATATCAACTCACTGCCCCTCCAAGTAAACTGATTTAAAGAGACACCAAAAATGCTTCATAACAAAGATTTATTTCTATCTTGATGATACTTGTATAATCATTATTAGTGTGAAAATATAAACATGATAAAATGTCACTTAAGACACAAGCAAGTTTGTGTTAGAAGTTTTCCAAATCGACCATCACTCAATAATTTATTATTATTATTTTAACACATAGATATTGGTACAAGGAGGCACCAAATACATATGCACTACGCAGATCTCATTTGATTTGTGTGAGGGCTGTGATACTTCCCGGGTGCCTAAACCGAAGCAGATGGTTTTCTTAGGGGACCACACCCCGAGCCTTCGACCTGAACGTCTGATCCACAAGGCAGTGGAGCATCGTGAGGAGATGCAGTCCCATGGTAGCCAGTGACCAACGATTGGTTCATACATCATTTGTTCCTTCAGGATACTGGGGCTCACGTGCACTATTGGTTTTGGATCCGGTTAAAGCGCCGGACATTCTCTTTTCGTCCTCTCATTTTCGTAAACAACACCCGTAGTGCGAGAATGCAGTGAGTAAGACTTCCCTGACAGAGGCTATATACGCGTGACCATGTGAAAGCATTTGGAGAGGGAGAGTGGACTCTCCCCACTCTCGGCCGTACCAGGGCATTTGGGGGTTCATTACCATAAACATTTTAAAAAAAAACAACTAGTTCCATGTAGTCCACTTATATAATGTAATCAACTGTGATCAGTGATGAGAAACACCCTCAAATCCATAAAGTTCAATTACATCTAGACTTAACTCCTAATGTTTATGATGATGAACATTAGGAGTTAGGTCTAGATGTAATTGAACTTTATGGATTTGAGGGTGTTTCTCATCACTGATCACAGTTGATTACATTAAATAAGTGGACTACATGGAACTAGTTGTTTTTTTTATAAAAAAAAGATTTACTTTTATGATTGGACCTCCATATGTTTGTATATTTACTCTATCTTTATCTCTCAAAGATAATAATGCAATCAAGGTGGTGTCCAACATTTTCTGACAGGTTGTACCTGTGTTTCAGGTTTGTTAGTAAATGTTTTCTTTATTCTTATCTTGGTTTCACCTCATGATATTTGTTTTGTTCATTGAATAATGCATCCTGAATATTTGCTTTATAGATTTTTTATTGTATGATGAGGACAAAAATTTAATTTATATACTATCGGGCTGAAAATAACCAATCTAAAAATCTAGTAGTTGAATTCATGAGTCAATTAAAGTTAGACTAACATGGAAAACCTGGAAGCACTGGACGGTGGCTTCGTCCTAGTACGAAGCTCCTCAGCAGTGCCCCCAAATGCCCTGTTACGGCCGAGAGTGGGGAGAGTCCGCTCTCCCTCTCGAAATGCCCTCACATGGCCACGAGTATATAGCCTCTGCCAGAGAAGTCCTACTCACTGCATTCTCGCACTACGGGTGTTGTTTACGAAAATGAGAGGACGGAAAGTGAATGTCCGGCGCTTTAACCGGATCCAAAACCAGTGGTGCACATGGGCTAGCTCCAGTATCCTGAAGGAACAAATGGCGTGTGAACCAATCGTTGGTCACCGGCTACCATGGGACTGCATCTCCTCACGATGCTCCACTGCCTTGTGGATCAGACATTCAGGTCGAAGGCTCGGGGTGTGGCCCCCTAAGAAAACCACCTGCTTCGGATGGGCACCCGGGCAGTATCACAGCCCTCGCACAAATCGATTGAGATTTGTGTGGCATATATGTACTTGGTGCCTTCTTGCACTTGGTGCGCATCCACGATCCCGCCTTACGAGATTCGAATCCACGACCTATCAGTCTTGCGCGCGAGCGCTTAACCTTTAGTCCACTGAGCCCGCCGGCATCCAACGGTGTTAATGTCTAACTTCAACCAATCCACGAAGTTGCGCAACCGTACACCATTGTTATCAGTGAGTTACTATCTCATAACAGACCCGGTTGAATTCCACTGGTCACGGCTTCTCACTAGAACTCCAGGAAATACCTGTTGGAGACCGTCACTAGGGAGTACATGTTGATTATAATCAGAGAGGGATTTGTGGAGATTGTAGTAATTTCAATAATTGAGATCATGAGTAAAAGGAAGCTAGATCACCATGAAAAACCTAGAAGTATTGAACGGCTCATGAATTCAACTACTAAATTACCATAATATGCACACATATCCCTCTGATTATTAATGAAATTTTCCAAAAGTGTTTATCAGAATACAAAGAAACTTGAAATATTTAACAGAATCATACATGCTCCATTAGACTCACTTCATGATATCATCACAGAGACAAAAAATTTAACAACCTATATGTGTATAAAGGTGCTTCATATTACGGACAGATGTTTCATTCTAGTATGAGTCTCCTTGGCAGTATCACCTAAAACCTTAATAGGGATGGTTTACGAATTAAATTTCAATGTCATAAATGCATTTATTGTTTGGCTTACTCATATTTTTTCAATTTCATCCTTTCTACGCGAAATAAATTTATGTCTAGTTTTTACTACAGCTACTATTTTTATTACTTCAACTTATTCAGTTATCATTTTGCCACATTTCCTCTCTTACTGTGATCATTTGTAGTTTGTCAGCATAATTCTACAAATCAATACTAATTTTACTGTCTAACTTTAGTGCCCCCAAATGCCCTGGTACGGCCGAGAGTGGGGAGAGTCCGCTCTCCCTCTCGAAATGCCCTCACATGGCCACGAGTATATAGCCTCTACCAGAGAAGTCCTACTCACTGCATTCTCGTGACATTACGGTTGTTTACGAAAATGAGAAGACGAAAAGTGAATGTCCAGCGCTTTAACCGGATTCTAAACCAATGGTGCACATGGGCTAGCTCCAGTATCCTGAATGAACAACTGGTGTATGAACCAATCGTTGGTCACCGGCTACCATGGGACTGCATCTCCTCACGATGCTTCACTGCGTTGTGGGTCAGACCTTTGGGTCAAAGGCTCCGAGTGTGGCTCCCTATGAAATCCACCTGCTTCGGTTTGGTCACCCGGGTAGTATCACAGCCCTCACACATATCATTTGAGATTTGTGTGGCGCATATGTATTTGGTGCCTCCTTGAACCAATATCTGTATGTTAAAGTAAATAAATATAAACAAGTCTAACTTTAGTACTCTTAAATATCACTGAAATGTAGTAAAAGACATCGTTCATACATGCAAAACCAGTGTATTTTTTGCATGGATACACATCACCGTAGGAATTCTTTCCATTGTAGATCAGTTGGTAATAGTAATAAAGAAGTATGAAGTTAGAAATGTAAACCATTTGATCCTGACTCATTGTCTCAAAGATCAAATGCTTACTTCGAGATCTAATGGTCTTGAACTAAACCCACGACATGTTGTGAATCTGTACTGTTAAGGCATCGGTGAGACTATAATTTATGGATGACTTTTGAGCGACGCCAAAGTGACCTTGAGAGTGTTTACCTACTTAATAGGACTAAACGAAGGCTATAAAGCAGTTTGAAGAATAAAGACAATGATTTACATTTGATGGATGATAAATTTCGAACCAAAATCCAAGACCTGTTATCCTAAATTTGATTGGTTCGTCTATAAATTATAGTCTCACCGAGGAATCTCATAATGAGACGAAACAATTATCTAATACTTCCTAATCTTCAGTAGTTGTCTAATTAAAGTCAGTTAGTGATTTAACCTATGAAAATGTGTCCATGTTAAACATAAAGCATTTCAATAAGTTATTCTAGTTGTCATATAGAATTTATTTAACAAAATTTATGATGTAGTAGTTTAATTTTTGTTACCATTGCTAACAGTACTCTTTAAAACCCTTCAAAGATAAGCTTTTTGATAAGTCTTGCTAATTGAATACTATATTCAGTTCCTAAACTATTCTCATAACCCGCAAGCTAGAACTACACAGTGACCGGAACACAAAAGAAAAGGCGCAAAGTATGCGAGAAGTACTTTACTCCGAAGGTTCGTTTTTGTACAGAAAATATTGGGTTTTTATAGTATTCTAGATGTCTTTGGGTTTCCCGAAAATTGTGAAATGCTACTAAATATAGTAGCAGCAGAGTAATCAGGCAATCAAATACTCTACATGTGACTTTTCACTTTCTTGATGTTTCTGGCTGAACTTCTAGTGAACGCTGACTGGATAAAATGTTACTTAGTGTTTCCTGAGCCTTTCTTTTTTTTGCGAGAAGTTTTATGGATCACCTCAACACTTTTCACTTGATTGTTCATCATTTCAGCTTTCATCATAGTATTCGTCTCGCTTATCTCTTCTAAAAACTATATATATAATTGACCTATTCATTTTTATATCAATGACTGATAGATCCTGGGTTAGAATCTAACGAGGCGGGATTGGGGATGCACACTGTTGAGGAGTCCCACAATAGGACGAAACGGCCATCCAGTGCTTCCAAGTTTTACATGGTGATCTAGCTTCAATTGACTCATAATTCCAACAGTTACGTTCTTGATCTGTCTACCCACTTTTAGCGCTGAGGATAACTTGTATAGGCTGACCGGCTTAAGCTTGAGGGTAGTACGCGTGAGTTCGAAGTGGGATAGATGGAAGAAAACTATTCTATCACTTGATTGGCTGACAAACACACGAGTGAGAGAAGACAAGTCAACTGGAACACTACTTGATTTATTCCTAATTCCGATCTGGTTCCCGAATTCACATCAGTGTAAAAAGATACATGAATAAATAGACGATTAACCCGACCACAACGTACAATAATTAGAAAAATAAAATCATGTCCGAAACTGGGAATTAACATAGAAAATAAAGTACAAAAGATTATGTTTAAATTACAATAGGTTTGAAACCAAAACGGGCTATGGCAGGGTATCATAAATCAAACGAAACCTTATGTTCGATAGAATAAACTAGGGATAAAAATTAATGTTAATGTTTTACAACTTGCTTACTTACGCCTGTTAATCCTAATGAAGCATAGACCGTCGACCAGCATTCTCCAACTCACTCTGTCCTCCGCCTTCTTTTCTAGTTCCATCCAATTCTTGTTCATTTTTCTCATGCCTATCTCAATTTCTCGGCGTAATGTGTTCTTTGGTGCTTCCTTCTCTCATTTACCCTTGAGGATTCCATGTGATGGCTTGACTTGTGACGCAGTTGGGTGCTTTCCTCAATATGTGTCCTATCCACTTCCAGCGCTTCTTCCTGATTTCTTCCTCCACTGCAATCTGATTCTCTCCCATAGTAGGTTGTTGCTAATAGTATCCGGTCAACGGATCCGAAGTATTTTGCGTAGACAACTGTTCATAAACACCTTTATCTTGTGGATAGTAGCATTCGTGGTCTCGAAAAATAGCTTCAATAGTTTGTCAAAGTTTCTTGCTTCTCTATTCACATCATTAACTATTAAAAATGACTATTTAATTTTTCGATAGTTGAAATCGTGAGTCAATTGAAGCTAGACCACCATGGGAAACCTGAAAGCACTGGACGGCCGTTTCGTCCTAGTATGGGACTCCTCAGCAGCTTCAATTGACTCATGATTTCAACTATTAAAATTACCAATTCTCCACAAAACCCCTTCTAATAATAATAATCATCTGCTCACTATTGAGTGACTTCAACAGATACTCCTGGAGTTCTAGTGAGAAGCCGTGACCAGTGGAATTCAACCGGGTCTATTATGAGATAGTAATTCACTGAAGATAATGGTGTACGGTGGCACAACTTCGTGGATTGGTTGAAGTTAAACATTTACACCGTTGGATGCCTGCCAAATCAATGGTCTAATTGGTTAAGCGCATGGCGCGAGACTAACAGGTCCTGGGTTCAAATTCCGCGGGGGGGGGGGTGGCACGGAATCGTGGATGCACACTGCTACTAAAGAGTCCTATACTAAAACGAACAGGTTTTCTATGATAGTAGTCTAGTTTCAATTGACTGATAATTTCAACTATTGAAATAACCAATTCTTTATAAAAACCCTTTTATCTAATATTTATCCTTTTTTCAAATCAATATAAAATTATAGATTAGAATTACAACATTCTAATGAAGAATTATTAACTATTACTACTAAATACAAAGAACAAGTTGATACTCTTCAAATAGATAAACAAAATTTAATTGAATCATTAAATGATGAAAAACAACAAATAAATACTGTTCTCAAACTATGGAATGAAGATAAAATCAAATATCAATATACACAATCTTATATAGAAAATTTACAAATACAAATGAAACATCTTAAACAAGATTTAAAACATGCTTTATTCAAACCAAATATTCATTACAAACAAGAATATAATCAACATAATAAATATAATTATCTTATTCAACAATTCAATTCTATAACAAATACTTATGATCAATTAGTTAATGAAAATATACAATTAAAACAAACAATTAATATGATGTCAGAACAAGCTAAACAATTTGCTCAATTGTCAATCATTAATGATAATCATAATAATAATAATAATAATGATAATAATCATCATAAATTATCGAAAGCAATCAAACAAATTTATCGATTATCTATAGAGAAACAATCATTAATTGAATTAAGTAATAGACTTCAATCGAAATTACGTCATCAATTTAATCAATATCAAAATGATAATAATAATAATCAACAACAACACCAACAAATCAATAATAATAATAATGATGATTCAAATAAACACAAAGAAACATTGTTTAATGTGAACGATCTAAACAATGTTCAAAATTCAATGGTAATTAATTCCAATATGAAAGAACTGTTAAATAATAATAATTATAATATTGAATCTATTATTGTGACAAAAGATGATAATCTAAGCAATAGTCATTTGGATCATGATCATCAACAACAGCAGAAGCAGCAGCAGCATCATCAACATATTACTGATGATGTTGAATCAATTATAACAGGGAAAGGATCTATTTCTACTATATTTAAATTATTAGATGAAGTTACATCATTAGATAGTGAAAATGATATAGAAAATTTCTATGGAAATAAATTAATGATACAAGGTAAACATAAATATATTAATAATTCCAAAGTAAAAATTATTAAATAAATGAAATGGACAAATTGTTAAGTGATAAACCTTACTTATTTAAGCCTGTTACTCCCAATGGAGCATAGGCCACCGACTAGCATTCACCAATTCATTCTGTCTGTTATAGGCCTTCCTTTCTAGTTCTATCTAATTTTTATTCATTTCTCACATGTCTATCTCCATTTCTCGGTGTAATGTGTTCTTTGGTGCTTTCTCTTTTCCTCCTTTGACCTTCAGGATTCTATGTAAGGGCTTGTTTTTTGACACATGCAGTTGGGTGATTTCTTCAATGTGTGACCTATCCACTGACAGCACTTCTTCCTTCGTTGGGATCTAGTTTGAAATACAAACTTACTTGTGGTTTAATCAATGAATTGTTGTGATTATTTTTAGAGTAATTTACATAATATCTATGATTCATTGTATAATATCATTATGATTAATTTATTATTTATATTAAATTAAAGGTAATCATTCATTATATATAATGAATTCAAATATAAGTATATATGTATATATTACGAAAAATATGGTTTGTTTTCATTTTTCTTCAGTTGAACGAATGTTTTATGCTGACTGTAGAGAATAGATTGCAGTGTTATAGACGTATGCATTCCATGTCTTCCTCTTAATTTCATATCATTTATTTATCTTTTCCTATAAGTAACTTGAACCCGATACACATATATGCGTGCCAGATCCTCTTACATGATTAATGATAGCCGATTCATTAATTGAACTTCTATGATTTTTCAACGATTCTCAACTGTTCACTTGGTATTGTTTGGCTTGTATCTTCCCATTGAGGTTTAACACTGCAATTGATCAGTCTGTTATTGACATATGTGCATACTGTGCAGTCTTAAACCTCAATGGGAAGATACAAGCCAAACAATACCAAGTGAATTTAAATTCACCCCATTGCACAAACAAGTGGCTGTCAGGACTCAGTAGCTAAGTGGATAACCCGATGGCGTTTGAAGCGAATGGTACTGGGTTCGAGTCTCAGAGTGAACATCAACAAGTCTGAGATGCAGGTACATCCTGCTGACGAGTCCCAAATAGGACGAAACGTGCGTCCTGGACTGCACTTCTAGCCATTATTCATCATTACTTACTACAAAAGGATTCTCAACTGGGTTTGAAAATGTGTGATGTTCCACTCTATCCATACTGTGGAAAGATATTTCTTATTGAGGAACCTAAAAGAAGAAACTGCGTTAAAGGGTGGTCTTAGTGACCTATTACTCGACACGGTTCACATATAGCTCTTTTATGAATAGTTCTTAGTGTGTAAGCTCTACGCTCTTAAGGCTTTATCCCTAGCGGTAGTAATCCGTGGAACAAGGTGAGGTATATTTTCCTAGGACCCACCTTCTTTAACCCCTTCCTTACATTGTGTGGAGACAACATCACCGTATATTCTAATCGTCCAACGGAAATACCTTACTGAAGTCACACCGTAGTACAATCAGTAGTAAAACTTTTCCCTCTAGCCTCAAAATTGGTGCTTTTAGTCTTAGCATTCTTCAATTGGACTTTTGGATATGGTAACGCTAATATAAGCTGCCAACTCACCACGGTAGACCGATTTTTAGCTATATGTCTGGCATTTTAAAAACTAGATTCAGGCTTGCATTGCCGATTGCCACATTCTAAAATGTCATCAATAAACCATGATTTTGCACCTAATCTATAAAAATTTTGATTGAGATTATGAATCGTCCAATTGTAGACCACCATTGAAAACCTGAAAGCACCGGACGGCTGTTTGTTAATTATCTCGACTATGACCTTAAACTAGTCATGGACAATGTTTACAATACTAGTAGAAATGGACCACATTTAAGTCATGGATTGATCAGTGTTAGACCAACAATAAAAACCTGGAGATATAGGACGGCCGGTTCTTCTTTCTATGAGACTCCTCAACGGTACACATCCGTGAGGGTCCTGAGTTCGACTCCCGAATGAGAAGTCAATTCTTAACTTAAACTATGGAAATTCTGCAATCTCTCCAAGTACCCCTATACCAAAAATTAATGTAGTATGTAGTTGTTCTCGCTAAAACTCCTAGTAATCTACTTCTATTACAAAAACCGAAACCTTGTTCACTTATTAATTTAACAGTTTTAAAGTTACAAATCCCTCAATTTTAAGCACCGAACTGTCTAATTTTTATTTGCAAGTTATACAGATGTTTAGAGATTGTCTTTGACTGAACTAAGGTGTGAGGTTGATCTTTTCTCTAACTCCATACATTACAAACGGTAAAACACTTCTTAGGAATACCTACAATTCACCTCCTAATCAATGACAAGTTTAAAGAACAAACAAGAAACGCAATAATTATTGGCTACAGTATTTATGGTAATGTTTATTTTTTGACGATTAATTACGACATGATCAGTGCGTTTAAAGTATGTACTTTCAGCTAATCTTTTTGATAAGGATATTGCATAACAGTATCCAATATATTTCAAATATAACTGATAGCAAATATCAATCCATACATTTCGTAAGCCATTTTTTTATCATATAATTTATGTATATGAGACCAAGTACTGTGGTCATAAGCAACATAGGACCTGGCATATATATACGATGGTTCAAGTTGCCGCACCATATCAACATAAACTCCGTGGTAGTAAAAGTAGTGACAGTACCAGTAGTAGTAGCACTAAAGATCCCTGGAAGCCTAAACAAAAATTGTTATCTCTAAAAGAATGCATATGACAAGGTTGGATGAAAATGGAAGTGGGTAACCCTAAAGAACACCACTTGACGTTGTCAGGTACGACGACAGTCCACCATTAGCTCTGAATCAACTAGTAGCGCTCGAGTAAACAGTCTTGATAAGATTTATGTAGCTTTGCTACGTCTTTCAATGACAGACACTCCCATAAATTCTGTTGATTAATACAGTCAAATACTGCCTAAAAGTAAAGAAATGCCAGTGTAATTGGTCATCCACAATTAATGTTTAAATTTCAGAACCTAAAAAATAGCGAACAGTTAGTCAATACATCCAGATTCAAGATTGGAAGCACCCTGGTTTTCTGGGGTTCGCTATTTTCGAACCCTGGTTAAGCGCTAGATGATTACTGAGGTTAATATTCTTAAGTATCATAGAGCGTTTGTATTTTACTTTGACTGAATAAATCTTAATGTAATTAGTTCATGTTCTGCTATAAGAAACAAATAAGGGAAGAAGTTGTAATTTAGGCGAATGATTTGTATTTAATCAGTCAGTCAGTAACAACGTGGAACTTTGTACGTACGTACATCAGTTCGAGGTGCCACATTAGCACAGAGATTCAAATCCTGTAGTGGTAGATGTAGTGAAAGTATATGTAGTGATAGGGAACATAAGGGTTTGATGATGTTATTCAAAGAGTATAATCCAGTGGAATAAATTTGGAAAGAGGAAAATAAAGGACATGAAGAATTCAGAAGATTAGAGTTTGAGAGAACACAAAGGGTGGATGCACCTGCGTCATTGCAAACGATTTTGAGCAATGTCATTCAAGATCTCTAACCATCGGTTGCTATCGTCTCGCGGACCCCAACGAGGTAGTCTATACCTACCGACATGGCTCAGTCTACTTGTCAGTGACTTCATGGATTTGTGCCATGTTTTGGTCTGGCCGCCCCTAGCTCTCTTCCAACCTATTTAATAATAATTAAAGTACAACTTTCTATTTTCTGTAATAACGGAATAAGACAATTTATGACTAAATCTCCCAAGTTCTCTATAGTACAAAGAATAATCTTTTTATCAAATATTCAGGATAGAATAAATATACAAAATTAACTAAGATCTACAACAATCTGAGTCAGATGCAATTACGATCGAAATGGATCATAGAAACAGGACCAAATTAGTTGGATGTAAAAGGTCTATAGAAAAGATAGAAAGAAGGCAGTTGACTATGAAAAAAAGACTGAAAGACAACTCACAAGAGCTTAAGACCATGATAGGAAAAAAGTTGTACAAGTTTCTTTTGTATACATATTTCTAATCTTTCCAAATGATTCGACAATACTGAGATGATGAAAGCTAAATGCTTTTGGCAGCTTTCTTCTTCTTACCTTGTAGATGACTATAAACACCGATTTCATTTTGATTGAATGACCTATGTTCACAAAGTGTTCGATTATTAGGCTATTTCAAACTTTTTCAATTAGGCTGGGTGATGTTCTTGAATTCTTTCGGATAAAATACACATCGAACAACCCATACGCCTGGCTTTACATGAACAGGTAAACTGATATATATATATATATATATATATATATATATATATATATATATACATGGGATTGATCAAATAAGATCATTTATCCTTTCGATTTTTGCTAATCGCAAAGTATGTTCTATTGAGAAAGAGAATCAGAAATTGGCAAAGCTAGAGCGGCATTCCTTCAACTAAAGAACATATGGAACTCAAAACAACTTTCAACCAATATCAAAGTCACAATCTTCAATACGAACGTCAAGGCAGTTCTACTGTACGGAGCTGAAACGTGGAGAACTACAACAACTACCATCAAGAAGGTACAAGTATTTATCAATAGCTGTCTACGCAAGATACTCAACATCCATTAGCCGGATACCATCAGCAACAACCGTTCGTGGGAGAGAACAAACCAGCTTCCAGTTGAAGAGGAAATTAGGAAAAGACGATGGAAATGGATCGGACATACATTACGCAAATCATCAAACTGCATTACGAGACAAGCGCTAACTTGGAATCGTGAAGGGAAGTGGAAAAGAGGAAGGCGAAAGAACACATTACTTCGGGAAATAGAAGCAAATATGAAAAGGATGAATAACAATTGGAAAGAGCTGGAAAGGATTGCCCAGGACAGGGTTGGATGGAGAATGCTGGTGAGCGGCCTATGCTCCTTCACGAGGAGTAACAGGCGTAAGTAAGTCTACAATCATAAATCCATATCATCACATCATTTAAAATCAAATCAAATTGTTAATATTGGGGTTGACTAATATAAAGTGTTAACTTGAATCAGTTTATAAATGAAATGAAATTGTAAGATAAATAATGATCAGAATAAATATGATCAATATGGGGTGAAAGAGAGAGAGTGAGAATAATGTAATTAGAAATTAGAAATTACATAATATGAATTAGGTCAGATGTAGTACATAAGGTTAGATAGTGAATCAATTTCTCGAAAACGTTATCAAGTGTAATAATAATGACAATGGTGAGAAAGGTTTATGATATAAAAATGAACATTAATCGAATTGCGTCACCATATTATAAAATTGATTATTACAAGGAGCGGCTGAACATTTTTTTAGATGCAAAGATCTGGCTTTTTGATCTGAATATTTATTGATTTGAACACATAAATATTGGTACAGGGGGGCACCAAATATATATGCGCCATACAAAACAATGATAATTTGAAGAGAAGGAGAAAAGAGAAAAAAAAGTAATGGACGTGGGGAATTATAAAAAAGAGAGAGAGAGAACAATGGTGGGGGAAACTGAAAGGTACAATCAGAAGAGATCTTTCAATTAAGGAAGATACAACCACTTTTTATGAAGAAAGTAAGAGGTTACAGCACGATCGCCACTGGCTTCTATTCTTAGCCATATCTGATAACGTCTCTAGCCACTGCGTTACACAGTCTCTCGGACCCCAACCAGGGAGTCGTGAAGGACCAACAGAAGCCAGTCCTTTGCAGCTTTCTTTCATACCACGACACCATGTCATATACTGACCACCTCTCCGCTTTTTCCAACCAGTCCCAGAGTCGGCAAATAATGCACGACGTGGAATTCTCTGGGACGACATTCGTACAACATGTCCAAGCCACTTTGATCTGAATAGCAATTGCTTCAACCGTTTGCAGGATTCTCAGTCTGACAGAATTAACTAGACTGTTGTTAACAAGATATATTATTGTGAAAGATTGCTTGCTCCATGTTGGTTGTACCTCCCATCTGAATTAAATGGGTTAAAATCAAGCAGTTAACCGTTTTAACTATACCTTTGCTTAATCACACTGGGAGGTGCTCATGAGCCCGAATATATAAATTCCTAGAACATCTGCCAATATAACTTGCTCAACAGGAGTGGTTGAATTGATAGATACAGAAAGAAGTGGCTAATCTAGACAATTTATCTTTCAACCTCGGAGTTTTCATTGGACTTGTGGAAAACATTAATTGTACTTTACCTGCATTAAAAGTTCTTTGGATTGATCTGCCTAACTTCAGTTTTATTATTTCACCAGGTGCATCACCTCTGAATTATAAGCGTATGTATATAGAGGCTTTTTATTCACGGTGAGGCATTCTCTATGCTGTCATTTATTGGCTATGTTTTTATTTATACATTACTTCAAATATCCATTTTCTTTCAGGGTCATGTATAATACTTTTGTCTCATCTTCGACTATATGCTCTCTAGATACGAAGTATTTTCACTACAACTAAGGATTACTTTTTCCGTCAGAACATACGAATATGATGAGTTATGTTGTTACATATATTAAGGTAAAAGCAATATAAACGAACATCTACTCACTACTATTTTAAGAAAACAAGCGCATGAAAAATGGCAAAGTTTTTGAGTAAATAAAACTTAAATGTTAAACAATACATCATAAAATATTGAAAAGTCTACAGTCTTTCCACAAATGGAACAGACATTGAATAGCTTGTCTAGAATATTTATCAAACGTCATTTTAAAGTTAAGGTTTTGTACATAATTCCTTTATTCTACTAACTCTTTCACTATCATTACGATCTAGATTCGCTTTTAATTCACTTAACTTGCATTATTACCCCATGGAATCTTTTGGTGCTTCTGTTAGTACTTGAACTTCCAGCTAACTTTTTTTCTTAAAAATTGTACCACTAAAAAAAGTCAACTCAACGACATAAGAACTGAGTTTCTCCCGAATCTCGTAGTGATTTACACAGCAAACGGATTACATCCGATTCCACACGTACCAAAAAAATCGATAAAAACTAGGCAAGAAAATAACTGAATAAATTACTCATTAACAACATACTTACTTACTTACGCCTGTTACTCCTCGCAAAGGAGCATAGGCCGCTCACCAGCATTCTCCATCCAACCCTGCCCCAACCAATCCTTTCCAATTGTTATTCATCCTTTTCATATTTGCTTCTATTTCCCGAAGTAATGTGTTCTTTCGCCTTCCTCTTTTCCACTTCCCTTCACGATTCCAAGTTAGCGCTTGTCTCGTAATGCAGTTTGATGATTTGCGTAATGTATGTCCGATTCATTTCCATCGTCTTTTCCTAATTTCCTCTTCAACTGGAAGCTGGTTTGTTCTCTCCCACGAACGGTTGTTGCTGATGGTATCCGGCTAATGGATGTTGAGTATCTTGCGTAGACAGCTATTGATAAATACTTGTACCTTCTTGATGGTAGTTGTTGTAGTTCTCCACGTTTCAGCTCCGTACAGTAGGACAGCCTTGACGTTCGTATTGAAGATTGTGACTTTGATATTGGTTGAAAGTTGTTTTGAGTTCCATACGTTCTTTAATTGAAGGAATGCGGCCCTTGCTTTGCCAATCCTCAACTTTACGTCTGCATCTGAACCTCCTTGTTTATCGATGATGCTTCCCAGGCATGTGAAGGATTCTACATCTTCCAAAATTTCACCATCAAGAGTGATTGGATTGGTGTTCTCTGTGTTATATTTGAGGACTTCGGTTTTCCTCTTGTGTATGTTGAGGCCTACTGATGCAGAGACTGCTGCTACGCTGGCTGTCTTTATCTGCATTTGTTCGTGTGTATGCGATAGGAGGGCTAGGTCATCTGCGAAGTCCAAATCGTCTGATTGGTCCTGAGCTGTCCATTGTATTCCGTGTTTTCCCTCAGATGTCGAGGTCTTTATAATCCAGTCGGCCACCAGAAAAAAGAGGAAGGGAGAGAGTAGACAGCCTTGTCTTACTCCGGTCCTTACTTGGAATGCATCTGTCAGTTGTCCTCCATGCACCACTTTGCACTGCAGTCCGTCGTATGAGTCCCGGATAATATTGACAATCTTCTCAGGAACTCCATAGTGTCGAAGAAGTTTCCATAACGTTCTCCTATCTATACTGTCAAATACATTTTCATAATCAATGAAGTTGATGTATAGTGACGAGTTCAACTGAATTGATTGTTCGACGATGATCCGTAGTGTCGCAATTCGGTCTGTGCACGACCGATTTTATTTATTTATTTTAACACATAAGTATAGGTACAGGGAGGCACCAAGTACATATGCGCCACACGAATCTCAATCGATTTGTGCGAGGGCTGTGATACTGCCCGGGTGCCCAAACCGAAGCAGGTGGTTTTCTTAGGGGGCCACACTCGGAGCCTTCGACCTGAACGTCTGACCCACAACGCAGTGGAGCATCGTGAGGAGATGCAGTCCCATGGTAGCCGGTGACCAACGATTGGTTCATACGCCATTTGTTCCTTCAGGATACTAAAGCTAGCCCATGTGCACCACTGGTTTGGGGTCCGGTTAATGCGCCGGACATTCACTTTTCGTCTTCTCATTTTTGTAAACAACACCACCGCCACGAGAAGGCAGTGAGTAGGACTTCCCTGGCAGAGGCTATATACGCATGGCCATGTGAGAGCATTTCGAGAGGGAGAGCGGTCTATCCCCACTCTCGGCCGTACCAGGGCATTTGGGAGCTGCACGACCGATCCTTGCGGATCATTAACAACATGTGCAAACATATATGAAATAAACATGAATGACAACTGAAGTTGACCTATTGATATAATATTCTAATAATTGAACAATAACATTCAATAAGTGTATGAAAAAAGACATAAATTAATCGCACCCCCTGAACATAATTTACTGTACATTAAAACATTCTTTTACAATAAAAAAGAAAAAAAGACTAAAAAACTTTTTTTCTTGAAAAACGATATTTACTTTTATGAAAATAATCATAATAATCTCAGATTTCTCCAGTTTAGACAATAACAAAACAAAGCATGTATATCAAATTGAACGTTTATATGAGACGGTATGATCAACTCTATGTAATGTTGTAGAAATTGAGCGTAATTTGATCTCTGTCGAATTAACAATGAATTGTGGACCAGTTTCCTCCCAAGAAGTAGGAACATTTACATTTCGATCAGCATAGACTAGTAATTCAAATGTGCCTGTTAATCAAATATATATATATATATATATATATATATATATATATATATTACTTATTAAATAGATAAGTTTATCAAAATTGATGATTGATGAGTAATTACAATTTCTTTAGGATCTCTTATTTCATCCCTTTACTACTGAAAAATCAGAGCAGTATTGTTTGTAAACGAACTATTTTCAGTCATTCAGTTACAACGTAGGACCAGGCACATATATGCACCAGTTTAAGTTGCTATACCTCACTAGCACAGCAAGAGGAACATCGGACTTATAAAAGCAGTTGCTACCTTAACGTGGTGATCGAGCCTGCTTATCGTGATCAATCAATCGAGCTATATTAGCTAAAACAATCCTCAAGGTCCTACAATACCAGACAGATCGGTTGAAGAACGGTAAGACTAAAAGCAGCAAACCCAAGGTCCGAGAGCGAAGTCATATTGCTGACTGTACAGAGGTTTGACGGCAATAAGATGTTTCCCTCAGACAACCAGCATAACAGCGATGCTACCTTTCGACAAGGAGGGGTAGGACTAGGAAAAGTCGACCCTAAAATGCACATCTTGCCTGATCACACGGATCCCCGTCTCTGGCGGTAAGGTCTCAACAAGTATGGACCTATCACGAAAATTACTCACAAAAAGGTCCTATGTGACTGAACTCAAGCAGTTGTCCCTTGGACACTGCGGTCACACTCTCAGGTCACTAAGACCACCTCTAATCCAATTTCCTTTTCAGGTACCTTCAGAAGAACCCTTCCACAGTGTGTACAACCAAGAAGTAATAACTGCCCTCATCATACCTCTAACATCACTCACATTCACTGTATTCATAATCAACTAACTATTTTTAATAATGAATTAATCATATCAAATAAGTTTAAGTATAAACATACTTACATGAACTATTTAATACTGGTAAAAATGTATTTGAAGCAACAATTTGACGTATAACACCTTGAATTTCACTTTGTATTTGTGCTAAAGATTTTGTTCCAACTGAATTACTAAAGAGAAAAAGAGAAAAAAAAAACAAAACAAAACAAAAATAAACTTACCTAGTATCTATTTTTTCAGTTGTCATATCAAATTGCCATCTTTCTAATACTTCATCAGTTTTTACTGATTTAATAATTAATGCAAGTCGATGTACACTACCATCTTCTAACCAATCTTTATATTTATATACATAGATAAATGATATTTATTTAATGAATTAATATTCAACATTACTTTTAACTTGATTTAATATAACATTTAAATATTTAATAAGATTTTCATCCGTTGTAACAAGTACACTTAAATCATATTTAATATTTTGTTTAAATGATGCCGATGGATAGATACCACGTTGATATAATATACTATTTAATGCATAAACTAATTATAAAATAATATGAATTAATTGAATATAAACATACAAAAATAATCGGTTAATAATTCAGCAGAACCTTTTAATGATATAGCACTAGATGTTTCAATTGGCATTGATTATTATGTAACAGTAAACTAAAAGAGAAAAAAAAGAAAAAATTTAAAACAGAAATACATTTGAATATTTATATTCTTATATGTATTGGCCCCCAAAATGCCCTGGTACAGCCGAGAGTGGAGAAAGTCTACTCTCCCTCTCAAAATTCTCTCACATGACCACGAGTATATAGCCTCTGCTAAGGAAGTCCTACTCACTGACTTCTCGCACTACGGGTGTTGTTTACGAAAATGAGAGGACGAAAAGCAAATGTCCGGCACCGGCTTTAACCGGATCCCAAACCAATAGTGCACATGGGCTGGTTCCAGTATCCTGAAGGAACAAGTGATGTATGAACCAGTCGTTGGTCACCGGCTACCATGGGACTGCACCTCCTCACGATGCTCCACTGCCTTGTGGATCAGATCTTCAGGTCGAAGGCTCGGGGTGTGGCTCCCTAAGAAAACCATCTGCTTCGGTTTGGGTACCCGAGCGGTATCACAGCCCTCACACATATCAAATGAGATCTGTGTGGCGCATATGTATTAGGTGCCTCCTTGTACCGATATTTATGTGTTAAAATAAATAAATAAGAGTCGTTTAACATCCTCGATTCCGAGAGGGCAGCTTTCATAAGCATGGAGCAAAACTGCTCTCACCGACGCGTTACAAACCCGATCTTTTACAGCCTGCCTAACATCAAATCTTACTAGTCACGTTAGCACAAGCACTCAAGCAGCCACCCAGATACATTAATCACTCAACTACTCCTAACTGCAGAGACGAGCTTCTCTAAGTGTTGTAAAATTAGGCTAGCTTGAGAAAACAATTTGGAGCTTAGATGCGTACAATGTTTTACTCAAAGATTTTGAAATCCGTTTAAGATTTCAGTAGCCGTATCTCCTTTAAATATCATATCCATAAAAAGGGTTTTCTTTTGTACTGTATGTACTTTTTCGTGATGTCTAGGTGTTAAGTTGCTATTGACGAACCTAGGTGGATAACCATTTCTAATGAGAATCTATGACTTGGGTTATTTTCTAGATAGGATAGGATTTTAACCATAGGCGAAGTGCTGAGTGAGTCGAGAAACAAAAGTAAATACAGGGGAGTAATGAAAAAGAACAAAAGGATGAAGCGTAGAATAAATCTGGATATAATTAAGTACTTACAATAGTCATTTGTATGGGTAGCGAAATTGTTTACTTCATTGATAGTCAGTTTCATATTTGTGTGGGCTAGGATACTACCCGGGGCCCTAAATCTAACCAGGTTGTTTCCTTAGAGAGCCACTCCCCGAGCCTTTGGCCTAGAGGTCTTATCCACAAGGCGATTGGGCAACGTTAGATGCAATCCCATGGTAGCCTGTGATCCCTTAGGATCTTGGAGCCTATGTGCACCATTGATTTGAAATCAGGGTTCCCCAACTTTCCTAGTTGAATCCTCCACACCCAACAACCCGGATATTTGTTTTTCGTCCCCTTAATCCCATAAACGATATCTCTGTCGAAAGGAAGCAGTGAGTAGGACTTTTCAGGAAGTGGGTATATATGAGTGGGTATTTAAGAGCATTTCGAGAGCGAGCAGGCTACTCACAGCCTTGGTTGCATAAAGGCATATAAAGACCTGAGAGATGGCCGCTAAACTGTCATGTCAACGATACTAGTGACACTAACTGCTCTCTGCGTAGTGGCAGATCTCATTTTATCTAGCATTCAGTGTCCATCAAGTTCTGTTAATCTACTCTCCAATGTGACAGCGTTGCTAAGAAACTCGACATCGAGTTGTCCTTTATTTGGTGTCAAAGGCTTGAAGACAACTGGTAGGAAGACTAAAAATGTCACATGGTATTCCTTTACACGACCTCACTCATAAAGTTTTGATAAGCCAATATATACTTATCCTACGCAGATATTCCTTATTTACAGCACCGTCACAAACTGATTCTTTTATCCTAGACCGATACTACCTACTACCATAAAAATAAGTGTCTACCACCGCTAAAACGGGTTGTACAAACCAAAACTTTTTGATTTGCAAGCAAGCACTGTGGTTAGCATACTTTTGATGAGGATCCGCGTTATGACTGACCTAAACGCAAGCTAAGTGGATAATCCATGGATACTCCGCAATAGGGATGAAATGTTTCATTGTTAAGCATTGGGAAATTAGCTTATCATGATCCGAGAACGTGATGAATATCGATCAAACAATCAAAGCGTATACAAGCTCAAAGAACTCAAAAGGCGTTATCTTAACATTAACAGTTGGATGAAAACAGTTATACGAAGGCAATATTAATAGAATTTTAACTTTGGCTAAACATAGTAATATATCCGGCTAAATTCTTTACTCTTCAGCTGTCCAACAAAGCACCAACAGGAAGTTGCAAGGTGAAACTCTTGTCTCCCACATTTAACTTATTAAGAGTAGATGAACTAAATACACCCAAAGTCACCACAGAGAGATTACCAGCCACGATCGTATGTACACAGGCTGGAATTCTGATTTTATTAATGAGCACAGACGAATATCTGGCGAGGCTAAATGTAATATATCACACAACGAAACATAAGACCCTTTACTTAAATGCATTCTCCCTCCTTCATGATATTTTTTACCATACCCAACATGGTTTCTGATCAGTCCGTAAAAAAATATAAACTTAGGGGCTAGTGAGCTGAGATATGTGTTGCTCACTTTACTAATGAAGATATAAGGGAAGCTCGACTGTGATTAATATACGTACTGCGAATATTAACACGGATCAGCCAACTATCTATCTATTTAAGATAAGGGATGTTGACAAACCTACAGTAACGAAAACCTTTGAAATTCCGCAATTGCGCAGTCTTCGCCTTTTCGAATATTTTAAACATACTGTATTCAAATGGTTGCGGACAGAATAGAAGGAGCCTTCGCTTAACGGGCTTCCGTGTCTGGCAGCAGTGGATCACCAATATCTTAATGCAGGAAGCTAGGTATATTAACGATAATAGAGGAAAAAAGAAATTGGTATATCATAGTAAGATATTATCCATAGTCCTTAAGAATAGGTCAGATTGCTTCTCAGAGGACTCCTGGGAAGTCGCTTGAACTAGCTCACTTGGTAGAGGATTCCAGCACTTGACCACTCTTAATGCGTAGAAGTTGTGTCCACAGTCAGTTCTGCTATGTTGTGTCTCCAGTTTCCGGGCGTTACCCCTTAGGTTTGTGTTGGAGCTAAGCTTAAGTAGGTGTTAAAGGAGATGTCCAGAAGTGTTAAGGACACTGTAAGCCATCAGAAGGTCACCTTTAAAACCTCTATACTCTAATGTGGAAAGGTTTAGTGACTGGAGGCGTTCTTCATAAGGCTTAAATTTGAGTCCCAGAACTGATTTCGTGGCTCGCCGTTAGATACACTCCAGTCTTCAGTCTTCAGTAATAAAGATAGTAGGTTGGTGAACCTGTATTAATCCTAACAGATTACCTTCCAGTGAAGGTCCGATTTCTCCTCAAAAATATTCACTGATGGGGCTGATACCACTTGTTCGGGCATGGCGTTCCAATCATTGACTACTCGATGAGAAAAACGGAACCCCACTTTAAGTTTATTAGATCACGGTTTATAAACCTTCTTGCTATGACTTCGGAGATTATTAGTGCTGGAGAGAGTGAAAAGATAAGACATATAAACCCAAAAATCATAATTAAAGGTACTAAAGGCCAGTATCTGGTCACCTCGAGTCCTACGATACGACAAGGGGAAAAGGTTTAGGCGTTTGAAACGCTCATCGTAAGGGAGTTTAAAGAGACCCTTCACTAATTTCGTTTCCACACGCTGGACACGCCCAAGTGAGTTAGTATCCTTTAACAGACATGGGCTATCTGCTTGGATACAGTACTCTAAATGTAGTCTTACATAAGTGGGATATACAATTCGAAACATCTCCTCGTCAAAAGATTTGAACGCTCGGCGAATTAACCATAACGCACAAAAACCTCTGACAGAGGCTGCGTTGCAATGCGTAGTTGTTTTTAGGTCATGAATTATTATCGCTCCTAAGTCCTTATGTTTTTGAACGCATAGAAGAGGTTTGCCGTCAATAGTATAATGGTAACTATTACCGGGACTGATGTGCATTAGCACACTCTTCCTAGAATTGCTTCCTCAGCCCCAACCTCGAGCCCATCTAACTAAATAGTCTCAGTCAGCTTGAAGATCCAGATGATCAGCTTCACTTTTTATTGTTCTCCAGATTTTTACGTCATCCGCAAATAATAATGTCGACGACCTAAGCAACAGCGGTAACTCATTTACGTAGAAAAGAAAGAGCAAAAGGCCTAAGATGGTGCCTTCGGGCACACCACTTTTCCCCGGCTTCTAATCGGATAGCATCCCATTGACCCTCATTCTCTGTCTACGGTCACATAAGAAGTTTCCTATCCACTCCTGTACAGTAGCTATTATTCCGAAGCTCGTGAGCTTCTGCATGAGACCTAAGTGTGAAACCATGTCAAATGCTTTGCTAAAATCTATAAATATCACATCGACAGACAGATCTTTATCTAAGGCTGCTGTTCAATCCTCTCTCGCAATAAGTAAGTTAGTCAAGCATCAACGCTTGCCACGAAATCCATGTTGCACAAGAGTTAACAGATTGTGTGAATCTATGTGGCTTAACAACCTAACCCGAATTATCTTTTCAAGTAACTTAACGACAATGCTAATTAGACTGACAGGCCGGTAGTTAGATACGACCTGTCTCTGACCATCCTTAAACATAGGACTGACTATAGAATCTTTCCAATCCCTAGGGGGTTGAGCGAGTGAAAGGGACATGTTAAAGAGTGTAGCAAGCAGTTTTGAAATAACGTTCGCAAGAGATGACAGCAGCCGTGTATGTAACCCGTCAGGACCCGGTATCTTACCAGGTTTGAGGTTAGTTATCAAGGGAAGGACAGTTTCCTCAATCACCTGTACAGATTCAATGGCTGGTATCTCGGTGTGATTGGGACAAGTATTTGTTACAATAAA